CGGGTAAGGCAGGACACGGCGATGGGCTGGGAAGGGTTGGGGTTGGCGTGGGGACACACACGGGGCTCGCGAGGAGGTGGTGGGTGATGTCCCGCGTCTCTCGCAGCGCCGCTCGCCTTCACCATGCTGCAGCGAACTCGCATCCACAAAGGCAGCTCCATCTTCTGGGGGAACGCCAGCCTGGATGGACAGCTCAGCCACCACCTGGAGGGGCTGAATGTCACGCAGGTGCTGCCGCTGGAGCCCCCCGAGGCGTGGGCTCGGCGGCAGAAGGATGTGACCACCTACCTGCAGTATTTCCGTGACCTGGTGCGTCTCTTCTATAAGGAGAGACCCATCAACTGTGAGTGGTTCCTTGACGGCACGGGGATGTGGCCCAAGGGGGAAGGGGAGTCCTCCCTGCACTGCCAGGGCACGAGGAAGGCTCTGCAGGGACAGCTGGGCAAGGGGATGGGGACATGGCCAGGTGTAAATCCTCTCTGCAGGTGCAGGTGGGATGCAGGCGAGATGCAGGCAGAAAGAAGGCAGGATGCAGGTTTAGGGGTTACAGCAATGACAAGTTAATGGTTTGACTTGATGATCTTGGAGGTCTCCTCCAACCTGTGAGGTTCTATGACCCTGTCCCCACAGACACCCAGAACCTGGGCTGCCACCTGGGCTGCCTCCTGTTCCCCAACGGCACAACCCAGAGCTTCTATGAGGTGACCCTGAACGGGACAGAGTTCCTCAGCTTCCATGTGCCCAATGCCACCTGGGAGCGGCGCTGGCCTGGGAGCCACACAGTGGCCACCTTTGCTGAGAGGGAGCTGATGAAGTACACCACAACCACCCAGGACCTCCAGTACTTCCTCAACACCACCTGTGTCAGCATCCTGCAGGCTCAGAGTGCCAGGACAGGTCCGTGACAGGGCTGGGAACAGGGGCATGGTGAGGTGATCCCAGTCATCATCTCCATCCTTCTGTGCCTCTTGCAGGAAAACTCAGCAGCAGATCACACGCTCCACTGGTGCTGGGCCTCATCCTGGGCACCCTCTGCTTGCTGGGCATGGCCGTGGGGATCTTCTTGTGCACGGGAGGGAGCTGCTAGCAGGGCCAGCAGCTGTCCCACATCACCCTGTGGAGGCAGGGGATGGATCCATCAGCACCCTGTGGTGCCATCACCACCCCGTGGACACAGGGCATGGACCTGTCATTCCCCTGTGGAGGGAGGGAATGGATCCATCATCTCTTCATGGATCCATCATCACTCCATGGTGGCAGAGAATGGATCCATCATCTCCCCATGGAGCACCAGCTGTTCTGGGGACAGTCCTCAGGCTGGGCTGGCACAATGCACTGAGGCTTGACACAGAAACACACTTGGCATGGATGGAAAAGATGAGGAAAGGGTGTGTGGGAGGGGGAAGCAGCCAGAGAAACAGCAAGGAATGGTGGAAAGGACAGCACTAAATCCTCCTTTATCCCTGTTCCAGGGAGGATCTCATACCTTGGGTAATAAAAGCTCTCACAACACATTTGGTTGCTCTCATTCCCTCCAGCAGCACCGAGGTGGAACTGTGCATCTGTCCTGGCTTGGGGTTGTGGACCTGTCCTGGATTGGGGCTGTGCATCCATCCTGGGCTGGGGCTGTGCATCCAGCAGGGACCATGGTTGCCAGCACAGGATGTGCCCATCAGTCTTGCCGGCCCCCGTATCATACCTTGGGCAGTACACTGAGTTTTCCAGGCCCCTGAAAAGAGGCTAGTGGGGTTTACTGGAGGTGTTTGTGCCTCCTGAGCTCATCTGATGTCCCAGCTTTGGCTGGACTCGGTGAAGTCATTTTCCCAATGTTTTTCATTCCCTCACTCAGTGTTTGCTGCTCAGGCTAAACACAGGCAGCTGTGAAGGGTCAGTTTGCCTTTTCCACAATCCAAATTCAGGCAAAAATCTTCTCTTTGACTGTCCAAACTTTGGCTATAGAAATAAACTCTTGGCTGTGCTTCCCTTTCACCCAGAGAAAGATTCTGAGCTCTCCTGCTCATCTCCAGCGCTCCCAGGGCAGGAAGGGCTGGGGACACTGACAGAGGGGACAGCACAGGAGAGAGGAGCTTTCCTGGATTAACTTCCACGTCTTCTCTCTCTAAACACTCTGTGTGCAAGAAAGGGAGGGATGAGCGGGGAAAGAGCTGCAGGACAGAAGGGATGGGAAGATGACCTAGGGGTTGTCCTCTAGGGGGGCTGGAGCAGGGGGTCTCCAAAGGCCACATCTCATCACCCTGGCCCTTGGCCAGCCCTGGAGCAGCCCCAAGGCCTCTCCAGGCTCCCAGGGCAGAGGCTGGGGCGCTCCCCACCCTCCAGCAGGCTCCAAGAGTCCCGAGAATCCAAAACAACGAGGCTGAGGCACGTGGACGTCATCCTGGGCCCTCAGAGCAGCTGCTGGGCAGGAGCTGTGCCGTGGGCCAAGCACTGCCTGTCCCTCCACAGGCATCAGGGGACACCAGGGCGATGCTGAAGGTAACGTGCAGTGATTTTGCTCCCCACAGAGGGATAAAATCCATTCCAGCCAGGACAAACCACTGCGTTCCCAGCTCTGTTTTGGGTTCCTGACTTGGGGCATCTCTGCTGCCTGCATATGTGGGCCACAAGACCTGGAGTGATTCTCATTCCCAGCCCCATCTCCCTGGGCTGCTCTTTGGGAAGGCAGAGCATGGATCCTGTGGGATCCCTGGCATGGCCAGGGAGTGGCAGTGGGGATGGCACTCAGGGCTGGACAAACAGGGCAGGGCTGGGACAACAGGGCTTGTTTTGCTTTTGGCCTCTCCAATGCGTCATCTTTTGGACAGATGAGGAAGTCTCTGCCTCAAGCAGCTCTGGAAAAGCCTTTTGCCTGCCCCTGGGCCCCCTGTGCGTGTGGGAGCAGCAGGACAGCAGTCCAGGACAGAACCAGCCTCACTGCTGGGCTTGTTTCCACAAGGGTATGGGGCAGCCCCTGGCACTGGGGTGTCCCACACTGTAACTCCCTGAGAAACAGCCTCAGCTTCATCTGTGCCCTCAGGCAGAGCTCCCAAACATCCCAGGACACCTCCCTGATGGTGACCAGCACCAACAAGGCCCTGGTGGCCAAAGCCAGAGCAGTTATGGTCACAGCATCCACCCCCAGCATATCACAGTCCCAACATTGCTGTTCCCCATCCCAAACCCTCAACATTTCTCTTCCTCACTCCAGCCCCCGAGTAGTCTGTCCCTCCCCCCCAGCTGCCCCTGGCAGTGCCCCCAGCCCAGTGGGTGCCACACACTGTGGTCCCACAGCCTGGCTGCCCCAGAGCTGGGAGCTGGGATTCCTGCCATTCCTGCCCTGCTGGGGCAGGGAGCAGCTCCCAGCAGCCACAGACATGGCCCAGCCTTTCCCAAGTGTGGCTGTTTTCCACCTTGGAGTGCAGCCAGGGACTCTCTGTGGGACCTAGCAGCTCAGGGCTGCTTCCCTCTGCTTCTTGGGGGATTTCTTGGCTTCTGCAAGAGGCTCAACAACCCCAACCAATCCCTCTGCACATCATCCCTGAGGAGTCATCCTGCTTATCCCCAGGGAGTGCCTGGACAGGCTGTTTTCCATGTGTGGCTTCCATCTCTGTTGCTGCCTCGGATAAGGGCTGAGATAAGACACCCAAGTCTTGATCCTTGCTCCAGTGAGTAAGATGATGCCCATGTGCCAGGAAGCAGTTTTTCCCTTTGCTCCCATCCCATGGGGACTTGGATTGGGTGGACAGACCTTCCCCTCTTTTCCCTTTGGGATATCAGTTCCCTCAGCAGAGTCAACACCTCCATCGATGTCCTGTAGGAACCTCTGGTATGAAGGGCTGAGCATCCAACACGGGCTGTGCATCCAGCAAGGCCTGGAGCTGCCCAATCCAAAGCCATAGCTCCTATGCCTGTTGGGATGGAGTGGTGCTGCTAGGATCCATCTGGAGGATCCATCTGGAAGGATGTTGGGATTAGCCCTGTAGTCAACCCTTACGCACTCAGAGCCTGTGCTGGAGTCATTGTGGTTTCTGGGGACTAAACAAACCTTGCTCTTCCAAATTCCAGGATGTCACAGCGTTGCAGCTCCAGATGTTTTAATTCTTGGCTTTGGGACACCTTGTTAACCCTAAGGACTGCACTGGAAGGAGGCTGTTTGGGATCACATGGAAGGGAGCAGCTCCTTGGGAACACCTCAGTCACCTTCCAGGTGAGCCAGAGCACAAAGCTGCCTGCAGGCCACATGGAGCAGGGATACATGGCAGTTGGGATGAGAGCAGTGGGATATCACCCATCCCACCCACCCTGTCCCTCCCTGGAGACCACTCCAGTCCCCACAGCCAGCCCTGCCTGGATGCTCCAGCACGTGGTGGCAGGCGAGAGGGAATGGGGGCTGCTAGCTGGAAATCCCAGCAAGGAATCATTGCTGTACCTTCCCTTCCCAGCTGGAGTCTCCCACTGCAAATCCAGGGCAATGTTCTTCTGGCATTAGACCCTTCTCCCTCCCACTCTAGAGCAGAAAGGTTCAGAGAGACGTAAGAACTTGAAAATAACAAGATTTTTCTTCCGAAAGCCCATCTGATGGTGCTGAATTTCCAGAGCTGTTCCCACACAGATGTCACTGACAACACTTTGACCCTCTTCCCAGACTCAGGAGCAGCCCTTGGAGCAGCTGATACCAACAGGAGCAAAGCATTCTCCATCCCAGGACACTTGTGCTGAAGCTCCTTGGAGCAGCCCCAAATCCAGTCTGGGTTTAGGAATGTGGCTGTAGGTGCAGCCAGCCCAGGCTGTGGAGGGAGAGGAGACAGGGACAAAACTCCAGGGCACGATGGAGAAGTGGCTTTGAGTCCTGTTTTCATCCCATCACCAATCTGCCATGGAATCCTCATCCCACCTGCTCCTTCCCCTTCCCAGGAATGGGAGGGATCTCCCAAGGGTGGGGACACTGACGGGGTGACTGACAGCTAAAAGCCAAGCTGTGGGTGGCCCTGGAAGAACACACATAGCTCCTGGAGGTGAGAACAATTCCCTCCGGGAATGCAGCAGGATCCCATTTCATCCCGCCCAAAGCAGCACAGCCTTCCAGAAAGGCATTCCAAGGACAAATTTCAGTTTCCTGGAAGAACTCAACAACATACCTACATCTGAATCCTCAACAATCCTTGACTTGGGCAAGGATTTGGGGTAAAGGGAGACCAGGAAATGAGGGTTTAGGTAATCCAATCTGGGAGCAGCTTTGCTTTAAAGGGGCTGGGAATTCAGGCTGTGCACTACAGAATTCCCAGCTCAGAGATTTGCACCATCAAGATGCTTGTTTGGCCCCAGACCAAGATGGGAGCACCTAAACCCCTTGGGAAACGTTTCTCTGGATCAGGGAATGTGCCACAGGCAGCTCCTTGGCACAAGAGACAGTCTCCACCTCCCTCTGCACCTGGAGGACAAACACCTCTCCATGATCCTAGAGAAAGCAGAAATCCCACAGCCAAGTGAGCCAGAACCAAATCCAGGGGAAATGTCTGAAGCAGATCCTCTGCACATTGCTGGGGGAAAGCCTGGAAGAGTTGGAAGCTTTGCTGGAGGTGGGAAAGGGCAGAGGACAGCTCCTTCCCTCCTGCTGGGAGAGGAAGCAGTGCTGCTTGGTTGGAATTTGGGGCTCTTTTTCCTGTTTTTCCTCTGGTTGCTGGAAAAGCCAGAGCTGTGCTGCCATTGTTGTGCTCTCCGAGGAATCCAGGTCCACAATGCAGCAAAAACAAACCACAGGAAGGAAAGGAATTAGCAGGAAAAGGAAAAGCAGCAGCAGCAGGAACCAGCACTCCTGGCCAGAACAAATGTGCTGCTGGGGGAGGTGAGAGGTTCACACCTTCTTCTGGGGGAGTTTGGGACTTTGGGGCGAAATTTCAGCTTTGGGGCTGCAGGTGAGCACCGGCAGGGATGGGGAAACCATGGGAATCAGCCTCAGGCACAAGGACAGGGGAAGGAAGAAGTGATGTGAGCTGAGGGGGTGCAGGGGCAGAGCTGCCTCAGTACCTGGGAAAGGATGGGCACAGGCAGCAGCCCCAGCTGGGATTGACACCTTACCCTCATGGATTCTGAGGGAGGCTGGCGCTGAGGCCAAGGCTCTGGCATGCCACGTTTGGCTCAGCTCTGCCCAAGCCCCTGCTGTGCCCTGCCAAGGCAAATGTAGGAAGGATCCAACAGGAAACCTTCCCAGTGCTTCTCCTTCCGCTGCGTCAGCTGGAGCTGCAGGCTTGGGTGGGACACTGCTGGACCAAGGGCAGCACAGCCAGAGCTGCCCCACCTTGCTGAGCTGCTCCAAGCTCACACTGAGGGAAAACCAGCAATAAACCCAAAGCAAACCAACCCCCAGGGTCTGCTTGTTGCTTCCCAGCAAATGTTTCCCTCTAGGCCAACCAGATCCCATCCACTTCCCAAAAGGGGAATGAGGAAGCAGCTGGAAGGATCCTACCTTAGAAACACCTGAGAGCCCAGGGAGAAGGAGCAGGACATCATCCTATACCGACTCAGTTACTTACCAACCTGCCAGGAGGTGCAGCCAGGTGGGGTCAGGCTCTGAGCTCAGGGAAAGCGTGACAGGACGAGAGGAAATGGTCTCCAGTTGCTCCAGGGGAGGTTTAGATTGGATATTAGGGAAAATTCCTTCCCTGAAAGGGTTGGACAGCCCTGGCACAGCTGCCCAGGGCAGGGGGGGGAGTCACCATCCCTGCAGGGGTTTTATAGTCACGTGGACGTGGCACTTGGGGATGTGGTAGCCTGGGCAGTGCTGGGGAATTTCTGGACTCTTATCTTAGAGGGCTGTTCCAAACCCAGTGATTCCCTGATTTCTCTTGCTGCCCACAGCCCTGGCACAGGGAAGCACAAGCCTGGCTGTGCCAGGGAAAGGGATGGGGAAACATATGACCAGGGAGGATTTGCCATTCCAGCTCCAACACACACTTTATTTCTGTGCCATCAGTCTCTCCGTCCTCACGGAGGACAGAGCACAGGAGGGGAGGGAACTCTGCCACACAAGCTGCTGCTTCCATCTGGGGGCAACAAGGGAGAACCAAGGCCACAAGAAGCCATTCCCAAATCCCACCGTGACTGGAGTCATTGCTAAGTTGTTGTGACTTCCAATTTCAAACCAACTTTTGGGACAAGAGGATTACACTTGGTAGTTAAAGAGAGTCCGCAGAGACCTTAAGAGACTCTTTTCCCTCCTTTCCCAAGCTAACACAGCCCAGTCCACTCCTAACAGCACCAGTATTCCTGCCCCAAAGCCCAGACCACGCTCTGGACTCAGAGGGGAAGGGAAGGAAGGGCTCATTGAAAACACCAATAGAAACTGGGGAAGAGATTGACACCGAGGATGTAAAAAGCAGGAGCAGCTGTGCAAACAGGTTGAGATGGTCAAGAAAAGTCACATCAAAATATATTTAAAAATCAGAAATTCCCATCTGTGTGGAATTGAAAACTCCTTTCCCCACCTTTTTGTTTGTCCTGCTCCAGGAGTCTCTGTCGTTCCAGGCTGTGGAACACGATAGGCAGCACCAGTGATGTCCTGAAAAGGTCTTTTTTCCCCCAGCTCTGAGCACTCGCATCGTTTCCAAATGAAAGGTTAGCTATCCCTCAAGCATTGTCCCCCTCCCCCCCTCTTCCATTCTCCAGTGGGCAAGAGAAAAGGCTGCTAACACATCTGATTTGCCATTCCAGGGCAGTCCAGTGGCTCCACACATCAATATCCCTGCAGCCCGTTGTACACCTTCTGCACAGGTCCTTGTTTCAGCAGCTGCTTCAGCCCTGCGAGGGAGAGCAGAGTGAGAGTGCTCAGGGCACAGCTAGGAGCCTCCAGGACCTTTCAAACACATTTCCCCCACTCCCCAAACCCAATCCATGAACCACTCCAGGGACCTGCCACTTCCTGGACCTGTCAGCATCACATTCCTACCAGAAGAGGCTAAAGGAATGAGTCAGCCCTTATATCACCACCAGCTCATCCCCTGCCTGAGGTCAGTGTGGCCAGGGGAGGCCTGGCAGGGCTCCACTGCTGCTCAAAGGGCACACAGAGCAAGCAGAGTGGCAAGAATAGATGTGTCACACTGTTTTCCCAGAGATTAGAAAGGGAGTCCCTTGCTGGTGGAGTCAGCCTGGTCATACTCTGCCAGGACTCACTACTGGGGCCCCCTCAGGGCATGGCAGCTCCTCTCACAGCACCACACAAACCACTGAGCAGGAGCTGCCAGGGCACAAAGCACAGGGAAACTCCCCACGCTGTAAACTTGTAAATAACCTTCACTACAAGGAGGACACTGAGGGGCTGACTGTATCCAGGGAAGGGAACAGAGCTGAGAAGGGGCTGGAGCAGCTGAGGGAGCTGGGAGGGCTCAGCCTGAAGGAGGCTCAGGGAAAACCTTCTGCTCCCTCCAACTCCCTAGCAGGTAGTGCAGCCAGGTGGGATCAGGCTCTGCTCCCAGGGAACAAGGGACAAGATGAGAGGGAATAGCCTCAAAGTGGCACCAGGGGAAGTTTAGGTTGGGTATCAGGGAAAATGTCCTCAGGAAAGAGCTGTCCAGCCTTGGCACAACTACCCACGGCAGTGGTGGAGTCACCATCCCTGCAGAGGTTTTACAGCTGTGTGGATGTGGCACTGCCACAGAGCTGCTCTGGACACAAACCATGGACATCCAGTGAGCTCCATGGGCATGGAGTGGGAGGAGCAGCAATGGAAACATCCATTTCCTTGTCCAGAACCAAACCCAACCTTTCAGGCAAACAGATACTTCAGGAAATTCAGCTAAAATGCAGTTTGTGTCCCTACAAACTTTGTCTAGCCTTAAATCCTTTTGGCTACATGTACTACTGTCCTTTAAACCCAGGGATCTGACGCATGAGGGCCACAGCAGCCCTGCTAAAATCCTGGAAAACTGTCCTGGAAGGAGCAGCTGGAACCCAGAGAGCTCTCACCCAGGCTCCT